CAAAATTTTTAACTGATACGATTTCATAACAGACCAGAAAATGACTGCAGAACAAGAACCAAAGCAGGGCGGAATCCGATACTCCGTATGAAAGCCTGGAAATATACACGGATGGATCAAGATTTGAGAAGAGAGTCGGGGGAAGTATATTCCCAAGGATTAACCGTAGGAGGCGAACTGTTTTTTAAGATAAGGATATCTTCGTTAACAATGAAATGAAGGCAACAATAAAAGTACCTCGCTTGCGCTGGATTCCAAATTTATGCTGAACTGACACCAATCTCTTTAGCCGGAGGCCTGATATAGTACCATCGACAGAAGCTGTAATGCGGATGAAATGGCTCTCGATAAAAACGCATTGGTATGCCTGAATGAATGAATGAACTTGCAAGCGGCTCATCAGAATTTTTACATGTGAACAGGCTCGTTAAACCACAACCTGCCGCAAATTCAGCCAAATCAGGTCAAAATGTGATCAGAGAATATCACGAGATATATGCTTAAAAAGTGGGAATGTGTTTAAAGTAATATCAGTACTGACAGCTCACTGTTTGATAGGTCAACAGGCATTGAAACTAGGTGCACTTTATATAAGATGCAGCAGAAGCTGCAAGAATTACGAGGAGCATCACCAATCCCTTATACATCTGTTCTTCTTTGGGCAGTGCGAGTCTTCGGAATTTCGGAGCCCTACTACTGGATGGTTTGGCTCTACTGAGGATTATTAGAAATTTGAAATGGTTGCATTGCGAAGCCTAATGGATAAATTTTTGTGGCCTTAAATGGGGTCTTAGTCAAGCAGACCTAAGTTTCATCGATGCCACCACAACCTAACCTAACCTCTTTTCAGAATAGTTATTTTCAAAACTTATGAAAGAAATATAATAACGGTGTAAGCATTTACATAGCAATTATCTATTTTATTTGACTTAAATAATATCTAAGCCATAGTAATTCTTATTGCTAGCATTATTATTGATCAGAAAGTCTGTATATGCATAAATGCGCACATAAATTATTTATATAAATAAACACATACACATAAATATATTATAAATATTTACCCTGCAGGAAAAAATACTAGTTGTTAACCAGTTTATCTTCAATCTATTTTGTCATACGGACTGTCAATTGTCAGTATATGCATCAGTTACATACTAGTTAAGTACCAGTTAAAATTCTGGTTCATTCATAACACGTTGAGAACTAGTTCTCCTCAGGCCAGTCTGCAACGTACTAGTAAAAACTAGTTCGATTGATTCCGTTATTCCAAACGATTGAACAGATTTTAATGAGCTCCTGAAGTCGCACTTATGGTTCATTTTACTTCAAATTTGATATATCATTTTTTTAAGGAACTGGATAAGATATAGATCTACGTATATGAAGTTTATTTACGACCGTTCATGAATCTTTAGAATTGAACAAAATATGAAACGTCAAACTGGTATAAATTTTGTCCGTAAAATACTAGTTGTTATACTAGAATTTTTGCAGACTAGTCCCGAGTTAGTATGATTTCGTCTTCAAAATACTAGTATTTAACTAAAATTTTAGCTTACTTGTCTATCTTTTCCCCACAGGATATCTACTTTCATAATATTCGTTCACATTAAGTAGATATGCATACATACACACATGCATGAGGCAATTAAAACAAGCCCACGTGAACAAATGAACTATTTATCAGTAACCAATTGCTGATGTATGTATGTATGTATGTAAATACATATGTATAGTTGAGAGTGATTTATAGCAAACCACAAATGGTGGGTGAATTATTTGATGGTTTTACAGTTCAATTACAAGCAAGTATGTACGCATATACTTCTACATATGTATATGTATTTTCAATAGACTTAAATGTCACAGTTCGCTTTAATGGGCAATTTGTCACATATGTATACCTGAGTAACTGTGCAATTTTATGGATATAGTGCGTAAAGAAAAAAATGATAAATTAATTAAAGTTCTATTGAAACAGAATTTAGTTAAAAATAAATTGCGGCTTTATACATATAAAATCTCCAAAAAATCTTCAAAAAATATACAAAAATTTTAAACTTTTATTATAAATTTCCTTAAAACCAATGATAAAAATGAGTATGTTACTTTTTTTGTTGCGCACTGTAAACATAGAGTTATTAAATATTTTTATTGACATATGTCTGTGTAAATATTAAGTGAATGTTCATAAAAGTGTAATTTATTTCCCAATTACATGCATTATTAATTAATTGATGCTCATTGAAATAATGCGGATGGTGAGAAATATTTATAAGGACAAAAAAATTGTAAAAATATTTTTCAGAAAATAAATTGCAAATAATTAATTACCATTACCAAGCTTCAATTATTTGTTTCATTTTGCTTATTTATGTTGGTAAAATAAATCAAAAATACAATTTTTTTTGTTTGAATTATAATAGTATGAGGGCAAGTAAAAAGTTCGTTCGGTTTTAATCTAAGAGGTGGCTTTATTGTCCATAGTACTAGTGTTACGTGTCGCATAATGTCATACTTTACGGCGCTGAAAACGTGTTTATTCGCGCTAAAAGTTTGTCTTTGACAATTTTTCGATTGATTGACTCAGTACGTTGTGAGCGCTCGTCAAAGATGGACACCGGATAAGAGAAAATTTGCTATATTTCACAATGTTTCTTCGATCAAGGCGAAATAGCAGCCAAAGTGGTTGAAAAATTTAATTAAGTTTATGGGCCAGATACTGTAAGCGAACGTGTAGCACAAAAGTGGTTTGCTAGGTTTCGTCCGGTAATTTCGATGTCAAAGATGCACCACCCGTCGGGAGGCCTGTCGTCGAAAATTGCGATAAAATCATGGAAATAGTGGAAACAGACCATCACGTGAGCACTTATTTAAATGCTGAGGAACTAAAGATAAGCCAGAAAACCATTTGGAACCATTTGCATAACCTTGGATTCAAAAAGATACTCGATGTTTGGGAGCCACATCAACTAACGCAAAACATGAAAGGTCGAATTTCCAACTGCGAATCGCTGCTGAATAGCAACAAAATCGACCCGTTTCTGAAGCAGATCGTGACTGGCGATGAAAAGTGGGTCACTTACGACAACAGCGAGCGCAAACGATTGTGGTCAAAGATCGGGAAGCGCCCCAGATGGTGGCCAAGACCGGATTGACGGCCAGGAATGTTTTGCTGTGTGTTTGGTGGGATTGGTAAGGACTCATTTACTACGAGCTGTTTCTATATGACCAAACGCTCAATTTAGCTCTCTACTGCCAACAAATGGACCGCTTGAAGGCAGCACTCATCCAGAAGAGGTCATCTTTGATCAACAGAGGCCGAAGTGTGTTCCATTAGGACAACGCCAGGCGACATACGTCTTTGGTGATGCGCCAGAACTTCTAGGAGCTCGGATGGCAGGTCCTAATGCACCCACCTTATAGTGCTGGCCTGGCACCAAGTGATTACCATCTTTTTCTGTCCATGGCGAACGCGCTGAATGGTGAGAAGTTGACCTCAAGAGAGACCTGTGAAAAATGGCTCTCCGAGTTTTATGCCCATAGGGACGCAACGTTCTACGAGAGGGGTATCATGAAGTCGGGACCTCGTTGGCAACAAGTTTACGAACAAAACAGCGCATATTTGACTTAAATCGGACAAATGTACACAAAGTTATCATATTTTGAAAAGTCAATAAGAAACCGAACTTTACTTGACCTAATATTTTATTGATATTTCAAAAAATATAATAGAATTGAAAAATAATTAAGATTAAAAATATTTTTTTAGGCTTCACAATAATTTTTCCCATGGTATAATTGAAATAAAGGGTGTTTTCATTAGTTATGTGGTTTTCAAGAAGAAATAAAACCCATATAATAACATTAAATTATAATAATTTAGCTTTATTATAAAGATAAGAGTCTGCCAAAATGTTTCGAAAAAGAGTTCGGGCATGTGACTACCACGGCTGGCTCGAATCAATTCCCGCCGAGAGTCAAGAATAATCTCTTCCAATCCGTAAATCGTTACAGAATTACCTACGTAGACAATTATAGTCACATAACCTCCTAACGAAAAGTACAGCCCTGTTAAATCGCACCACAACACACCCGAGATAATGCCCTCATCAAAAGTTTCTTTCAATAAATTGATTGCTTTGTTGGTTGTATGGCATTTAGATAGGGTCGTCTTGTTGGTTATCCATATCAACATCCACCAATTCAGGCACAAAAAGTTATAAATCCTACAGCGTCCCCCATTGACAGTAACATTAGGACCGATTTTTTTTCAAGAAATATGAAACAACGATCCCATCCTCCCCATGGAGCCCACCAAATTGGGTAGTTTTTTAAGAAGCAACGGCTCCTCAGCATTGGCTTTATCGCCATCATCACTCTAAATGCGACAATTTTGTTAATTTATTATTATGTACCCATTCAACCAAAAGTGAGCTTTATCACTGAACAAAATTTATTTTGTGAAAATCAGAACCTTTGGCCATCTCATTTCGGGTTTATTCCCCAAACGCTTGATGTTCGTTCGGCTTCAATTCCTGCGCGAGTTGGTTCTTGTAAGCTCACAAACCAAGATGCATTTGCAAAATTTTCCAAAAAGTGAATGGACACAATTCCAATCGTGGCACTCGATCATTTGGGTCTGCATCATTACTCTGCTTCACAGCAGCAGTAGCATCTGCGAAACACTAGTGTAAACGCGCTACAAAACTGATTCATTGTTGCTCGAATCACCGACTCTGCTGGGCAATTATATATGTCTACCGAAAATTGGACGCAGTGGGGAATACGTCGCGCGAGCCGAACCATTATTTTTAGTAACAAATTTGTAAGATTCACATAGTTGTTCCGGTGTAAGTCTATTCATTATAAAATGGCAAATTAAACTGAGTGTAAGTCGAGTACTAGCTGTCAAAGAGATCTACCAACTCTGGAAAATTATTACCTTGTCGAAAACTACACGTCTAAAACAAAACATCCTTACGAGTATAACTCACCAGTTTTACCAGTTTAATCCAACCATTTTCTTAATCTCTTTTTCTAATGAGATTTGCAGGTTCAAGGATTCTGAAAAGAAAAAGAAATACAGAGTAGTTTTGATACAAGCTAACTTTTGTATCTCAAATATAGTGAATGTACAAAATAAAGGTGTAATTTAACAGTGAAATAGATAATAAAAATCTTTATAAAAAAATGTACCTCTGTAAAAAATGGTGAGTCAGTAGAATAGTAAATAACCTAACCACAATAACTAAGCTCTTAAACTAAATTAAAATAGATCTCAGCCATTTTGAGTTGTCGCCCCACAAACTCGATAAGTCGATACACGTGTCCTTACTTATGAATCCACGGATATTGCCACCGTTATCTTCGTGAACGCTCGGCATATTCAGACGAAGTTATTGAGGTTAAGTGATTTATAATTTCTCAGTTTCTTTTCTATTTTACTATTAAGTTAAGGAATACACATACTTACGGCGGTGTAAACTATTTGAAACGATTTTGTTTAATAATTTTTGTAGCTTTTATCTTTGAATTATTACATACTTACTTAATTTTTTATTATATTTTTTGTACCACAAAACTCGCCATGTGGAATTGAACAATAAATCGCACCCATTTTCCATCGCTAGGATAAGAATTTCTTTTTTCCTAATTTTATGTGGGATCGAGCCTCGAAATATACCCTTTCCAATAAAAAAATAATTACTCAAATCGGACTTCATTCTAAAGAGGTAAGCGCCGCCTCTGCTTCCTTCCGTATAAGATTTTTTTCTCAACTTAAAAGACAATTTTCCATGGTACAAATTTATGAACTTCGGATGGATTTCATGATATTCATTTTCTTTGTTTTTAAGTATATATATGTATGTATGTATATTTGAGTGTAAGGGAAGTCAGCTCTCTCATTTTAGCATAAATTTGATTTGATTCAACTAATTTTCATTGGCCTCGGCTCGCCAGTTTTTCAGCCATTTAGTGATTTCATTTGTAGTTTCGGAGAAGCTAGATTTGGCTGGCATCTATTGCTAATATATCAGTATCATCATCTACCTGTGGTTCCACTATAGTACCGGCCCAAGACTCTGCTTTGAGGTACACCTTTCAATCTGTACTTATAATTAACAGGGATAGACTTTTGAATGTTCTAGAGCTCCCCATCAGTACAAACACCACCAAATGCTTGTGATATACCGAGAAATGCAGAATAAATTTTCTCGACAAAACTGTTCTATTGGGCTGTGCTTTTTTTTCTATTTCCAAATTGATGATGGAGTATGAGACTTTTATGCACGATGACCGTAAGCAGCCTTTTGAGAAATAGTTCTTCTATGATTTCGGATACATATATTGAGTAATGAACTAATGGATATATGTGATATATGGAATAATCACCTGGATCACGTTCTTTTGAGTAGGAACAAATACCCGTTTAAGTACTGCGCTAAACAGGTAAATTAAACATGCAATATATTCATTGTACTTTACTGTATGAATAACACTTTTCACTTCAGTTTAGAAAAACATTTATATAGGTGGATCCAAATAATGAAGAAAGTAAAGTTTTTCATTCACGTTTTCTGTTAAAAACTCGGAGGGTTCTACTGTGGGATGAATACATTTTTAGCTGGTGTGCGGAGATGTTGGTCTTTTAGGTCATCCAGAATGAATAATATCCTTTTTTTGCAATTTTATCATCTCTTAATTTGACTCATACAAAAGGAAAATCCTTTCACCACTTCGGCTAACAGGCCTTTAGGTCAACGCAGGTATTGAAGTGTTCAACCGCTTTATTGCTGGGTGTTTTAATTGCAACTTCCTTGTAATAATAGGATTTGGTTTTGTTTCGCAAAAATAATTAAAATGCAATTTTTATGACTAAAAATGAATATTAATTTTTTAAAAATTTTAATTTGGATTTGATATTAAATTTATTACTTTTAAAAAATTTTTAGTAATAAAAAGAACATTCTAAAATATTATATATCTGCTTAGTAAAAATTAGTCCATTATTTTTCGAATAGATGGCGTTATTTATCTGCATCACGTACATTGTCGATTCCGAACGTCATTTAAGCAACGTTACGATTGCCCAAGTGCTAAAAATTGGTGAAAAAATTGTTTGAAGCCATTTGTATAAGTCTGGATACCAGAGGAAAAATTTAAAGCATTCAATTTTATGCAAAATAATGGATTACTTTTTACTACTCCTTATATAATTATTAAATGATTATTTAGAAAACCTAGACTAGGGAAAGATAATTATAAAATAACATGAAATTTTAAATTCGTTTTTATCAAAAAAAAATTCTTTGACTATGTATGAAAAAGAAACTATTTTAAAATATTTATTTCATTGTTTACAAATTTTTTTCTTAAAGAGAATTTAAAATAAAAATTATTTAACTTTCGATTTTTTAATGTTTTTATATAAATAGTTTTAATATTATTTGAGAATATTTTCAAAATAAATATTATATTTTAAACTCAAATTCAACTTGTTCATCTTCCATCTTACTGGTAGCCGTTTGACGATGATATCTTACGAGCTCTCAATTGCCCGACCATGCATCAGCTTCATACTAGTTCATTTGTGCTTAAATTTAGTTATTTCCGCTTCACCAATAATAAAAATAAAAATTTATTTGGTGTATAGCACATTGGTAATAATTTTTTGTACAGCACTAAATATTGATAATAGCAACATTTTATATTTAACAAAAATTTATTTCAATGTGAATAGTTTCAAAATCAAAATTGCAATAATTAAAAGCAAAAAAGTTCAAAATTAAAATAATTGAAAAACAAGTAGAAAAAAAATTTGATTCAAAAACAATTTACAACAAGTAAAAATCAAAAGGTAGCTTCCAACAACTGCTAACCACTCGTCTTTCTCGACGATGTAAAGAGTAACGAGATGCAACGCACTTCAACAGTGCATAACAGAGAATGTAACATATCCATGGTATGTTAAAAATTACCATAACATAACAGTGGCATGGTGATGAATACAATTGTTATTTCCTTTGCTGGTGAGCTGTAAAACATTTGCCAACTTATAGCGAAATGAAATGATTGGATTGGTACTAGTATTCAACTGGACATTTTGAGCACTAGTTAAGATTTACACTGCCAGGTATCGGCATTAGATTGCAAGTCATTACATTTTATTACTTTGCAATAACATTCTGTTGTTGAAAATAAAGAAAGGGTTAGTCATATTTATTATGCTTCAACAAATTTCTGACTCAACACAATGTAAATGAAATAAACATATAATCAACAGGAATTGAGTGTGTTAGCTTTGCACAATTTGAAATGCGATGATTGATTTCGCAAACAAAGCAAATCATGCTATTTGCGGAGAAGAGTGTAGGGTGCTATAGCAATATGTGAAGTAATAGAAGCTTTACAGTTGCATTGTCTGTGGTAAGAATAAACGTTTTGATGACGATAAATTTTGAATAATATTGCTTTCAATTATTTTTCAGTTTCAGCTGATATGACTTTAATATATCATTATTTAATAAAAATAATAGACTATATTTAGAAACCTGCATCAACAGTTAATTAACAGTTTGCGTGTGGTCTAATGTAGAATTACTTTAATTAATCTCAGAATATCAATCTTGACTGACCAGACTTGAAAGACAATCAGCCTTCAGGACAGATATGATTAAGGACCTGTAGAGTTCAGTTTTTGTTCTTATTACATTTCTTAATAAAAGCGGTTTCTCCCTTCAAACCGCTCAATAATGCCCAAAATTTCTGAAGCTACTATTTTGTTATTGGGGCAGTGACATAAGAATTTTACTCAGTATAAATATGGATATCTTCCCAATTTCGCAATAAAAGGCATTATTTTGATATTCAAAGAAAAATGGCAAGTTTTTAAATAAATAATCGGACGTTTGATAGAAATAAGGAAGAAGATATGCCATTAATAATAATATATAGTACAATATAAGCCAAATGACCGCTACGGAATGTACCATTTTTATCCATCACCAAATCGCAAAGTAGCTGTTGTGTGTCCTCAATAGCTTCACGAATTCCATCTTTGAGGTTTGTAATCGACGTTGAATTGACGGGACCTCAAAGGAAGAAGTCGCAAGGTTTTAAATCACAACATCTCGGTGGCCAATTGCAATCAGCTCTTCCTCATATAACACGGCCTCGAAACGTTTCCTTTAAAATATCATGCTTGTGTGGCAGGTAGCTCCTTCTTGTTGAAAGTAAACTTTATCTAGATCGAAACTCTCCAATTTCGGTCATAAAATTCATCATTAATAATCTTTCGATAACGCAATCTATTCACTATAACTGTTGCTTCGGAAAAGTAAGATCCAGTCACCCCACCCCACCATAAACCGCACCAAACACTTACTCGTTGAGGTGGGAGAGGCTTTTCAACAATAAATCTTTTTCGAGCCGCAAATTCAACAATTTGACTTATTCACATAGCCATCGAAGTGGAATGAGGCCCTATTTAAAAAATCGACTATTTCTTATTTTTATTACTTACTTACTTTAGTGGCGTAGACAACGCTTACCCGATTTTAGCCGATTTAACAACATTGCACCACTCGTTTCTTTTTCTTATTTTATTATTTTTGTAATAATTATATAGTACTTGTATTGGATTTCTGGAATAGTGATTTCCGTAAACTCACATTTATGCGTATAAGTTCAGAAGCATCAAACTCTGTATTCACTGTATTACAATACAGTATTTTAATATTATGTATAATACATATTTTTGCAGTGCATAACCACAAAGTGCATATTCATCGCTATACGAAAGGCTATTAAGGCTTCAGGGTAAGCGTTGGCGTATGAGTAACTTTTATAGCAATTTGCATGAGCAATACATTCGATTTATACGCAAATTCATCAAGAGAGTTACTTGTGTTCATACATAACTTCTGTATGTAAATGAGAGTTTATTATTTTTCTTGAAACATGTTCTCTTAAATTTCATTAAATTTCAAACATATGTATTCATGACCTATAATCATGCGTTTCTGCATACACACATCAGTACGTACGTACCTGATTTGCATACA